CTGAGATATACTACCCGATGGCCAGTGCAGTGATCCCTCTGGGAACCCAAAGAGATTTTCACATGAAACAGTGAAAGCTGCTTGGATAACGTCTTTTCACCCATCTAGGCAGCACCGTTTCAACTGCAGGCACCGGCAGTGGCACAAACAAGGACATCGAATCCATACGGGATCGGAAATTCACCAAGACAGGCATTCATTAACTCAACTCAGTACAAATCGTGAAAAACATCCAGATTTTCAACACTAATATCAGTCAAGTCAGTGCTTCTATGTGATGGTTCAGAAACTAGATGCATCACAAAAAGCATTTCCAACAGACTACAGCTATTCATCAACTACTACTTACTCTGGCTCGTTACTGGAGGTCAGATGGCCAGAAAGAATAAGCAGCAGAGAACTGTGGGCACGAACCAATTAAGAAGCTGTCGTTCAACAAATATACGGAAGGAAATGGAGATGGATCGGGCATACAATGAGAAGACCATTCGGGAACACCACGTGCCAGGCCAGGTACTCGAGGGGAACCCAGATGGAAAACGACGAGTTGGTCGTCCGTGGCGAGGGTGACATGGAGTAGGTGGTGTGAGGAGGAGATGAGAGCTTCTGGGCAGTCGTAGAGCCAGGCTGAAAAGACTGCGGAGAGGAGAGTGTAATGGAGATGTGCTACTGAAGCGCTATTTTCCACTGGGAACCCAAGGGGTTAATAATAATAGTAATAAATTACGGTTTTCTGTTTGCTAGCTATCCTTTTCTGTTGCTATCATTCCTGACACAGCTCAGTCTGCTTCTCTCCTGTGTCATCTCCTTATACGATGGCGTGTTATCACTTCTATCCGCTTTTCATTATGTTGTTGACATCACTATAGATATTTTTCTTGCTCCTTCTCCTGTGCTTTCCTACTCTTTTTGATAGCTGACCGAAATATCATTCCGTTCTCGATAACATCATTCTGTCTAATTCCTGAATGATAGCTTTTTCAGAGTGTTGGCTACTGTCTGACGACACAACATTCGAGGTCCCCAGCAGCAATGCAGTCACCCCTTCCCAAATTAAATAACACCCAACCGTCCACCATGTTTTTCACTGCATTTCACTGGATACGCGGGATTTTCCGCACAAAACAGGACTAGAAACGGGACAACCAACTGATTTACACTAACCTACTAAACATGCACTCGATATGGAAGCTCGAACACCAAATCTGCCACCATGTGGTTGCTACGCACCCTACATTTAGAGCTTAGGTACACTGGATGATGCAAGTTTCAGTTCCAACAATTTTAGATTAGTGAACTACTGCAATGGCTGCTGAGCTCCTTTCTGGTGTCCGCGAGACAACAAAGTGCGCTTGGTGATTACCACCCGTAAACTTAGTTTCAGAACCTACCCAAACTGTAATCTTCACAGATTACTGTCTATTCCGGGTTAGAAATCATCGACGCCCCACGAGATCTGTTTTCATGGTTCTGGTTTTTGTTGATAGATTATCAATACATTTACTTCTACATAAATATTCGACATATTCCAAGCACCATACTACATTAAGAAGATAGTCTACGAAACCAAGAGTGAATAAATACACTGAAAGGGCAAAACCCTTCGCAATAATATTGAACAGTTGAGTGTCGCTATGGTTGTGGTCGAAGTGTTGTGCAACAGCTTATGCATTAAATTCAAGCTACCTAGGAAAAGCGATTGCGGTCTTCAAATAGCTAGGAAGTGCCCCACGGGGATCTCATTTTAACCAGGAGTATTGATGCCCTGGTTTGAATTTCAAAGATGCTTCGCTGTCTCTCACCACCTTAATCAGGCTATCTTTAGCTAATGTGTCTTCGTTTCCATGAAGGTATTATAAATACTCCTACACTTAAGCCGTATCCACCTGTCCTCTCAGAAAAAATTCAGTGTTTAGATTCCAATTGTCTTTGATTCAACTGCAGGATGAAGCTTCGAGGTGAAAACTACATCAGCATAATAAGCGGATGAGAAACTTAAACTCATATTATGAATTCCTGCCAAGTTTCAATGGTAAGATAATGATGTACATCGAATGTTAACCAGGATCTATTACATTAAGAGTAAGATACTGCTCCTCACCGAGCATCACGGTTAAGTGTTCGTCTAACCACTCGAAAGAAATGCTAGGTGGGGCTGCATTTGTCGGCGCTAAGCATGAAGTATGACATGTGCCTGTATTACTTCTTCTCATCACCTAATTTACTTTACATTTAGTGCCTTGGCATCATCATAACTTACTCATATGTGTGAAACCGACTTTTCTTATTCGTCAGGACATACTGTCCATCATACTGAAGTAAATGAAGGCTCTTAGTCAACATCTCAGATATCCCCTCTAATGAAGGCTGATAGCAACTTCATCAGTCCAAGCTGTATTGGTCGTCCGTGAAGTTAAGGTCTGCACAAACAGAATACTCCTACGATGTTGCCTGTGTTGCTTGAATCTTCGGAGGTGTGAGAGATTAAACAGGTAGAAGCGTTGCCCAAACCAAAGGGCGGCTTTCAGCACACTTACATCGTTGTCGAATTTCGCTGCATAAAACACAGTATAAACTTCGACTCCTAGCCACCAATAGGTCGTCTGAGTAGTGAGTGATGTAGTGCAGGAAAATCACTCAGGCTATCTATCGGAACATTTCCTATCCACACGTCTTACTTGTGGGAAGTTTCCTTTTTCTTTAGCAGCGACAGACAGTTAGGCCAAATGCACTTGGCTTTGCACAGGGCCTCACAGATGGGTTCTCTTCATTTATTTGTCAGTTTATCCACAGCTTTGGCAATAGCCATCAGGTCCGCAAACTGAACTTCAGTGTTTTCACTCTCAGTATGATGAAATGAACAACGGTTCAAGAAAAGGATACTTCTAGACATTATTCATTTCCTAAGCAATGAATCTATCCAAAGTGCTTATTTTTCTAAAAGGGACTTCTTCGTCTAGGGACAAAATGAAACCAACCAAGATGAAACGTTTTCTTGAGAGACTTGGTTTAGCCACCCTTTCCAGGATACGTCGAAAATTCCGATTTATCTTCAAAAGCCATTTTGTCCGTATTAATTCTACTTTTATTCTTAGAGGCATGTTGGCCTTCAATTATTGCTGCCTTAGATAACGTTGCACGGGTACTGGCAAGATAGATGTGTCTTTCAGGGAAATCGGAGGTAACTGCTCGCAAATCAATTAACTTGGTTGCTCAGCACATCTGCAATTGTGAGAGGATTCAAACAAATGAGGTTTCTTTACTGATGATTAGGGAAGGGATTTGTTTCGTCCCACTGGGACGACTGCCTTGATAAACGCTGCAACGCAAAGAAGCGCTTGTAGGACTTCTAGCCCTTGACTTCAGCCACCTAGTTGTTAGTTCGTAACAGCATGCTGTTTCCCCAATGGGTACGTGCGTTGAGCAGGATACCTTATTGATTTGGGATCACCGCAAATCATGGCAGGTATGGTCGCCCCGAAGTTACACAGATTATCCTAGCACACTCCTTCCAACGGCCGATGGTCTTAGTCTCTAGAGAGCTGCATCACGTTTCATGAGCCTTACAGTACTTCATGCGTCATATCACTAATTACAAGTTCTATTTTGAACTAACCTTCTAGTCTTCGAGTTGACGAGAGAATGATTGATATCAGACATGAATGCTAACCGGCCACTTGACAAGTAGCTCGTGTTGATGCAAGATTACGCCACAAAACATGCGTGGTGAATGAGGAAATGGTCCTGGCCGTTTCACGTAAACTGACACGGTATACAGTTTGTGGGCTTGTGGAGATTTGATGACCCAAGTTGGTGTTCACCATGGAACGATATGAGTGAGAGAACCACTAAAATCCCCTAGCATGGGACCCCATGGCAATAAGCACATATCGCACCTCAAAGAATCGAAACCAAAAGCTTTCAGTTTCGCGGCGAGCGTTTCACCACTCAGCTGCTAGATTGGAGCCCAGAGGCCCAGATTTCCCGACTTCGTGACAAGGCGCAACCGTCATCCAATAATACTGATGAGTGACTGTCTTCAGTTACATCTTGGTCCTGCCAATGATCACGAAATCTCTATAAGATTCCTGAGAAATGGATCTCAAAGCAGATTGCTAATACCCAGTGGTCGTCCGAGTGAGGTCAGTCACCGACGTACAACAACATGACAGTGTTGCAGTCTATGTGGAACCTTAAAAAGGGGAACTTCATAAAAAGTCATCCAGGTCAGCAACGAATTCAGTCCAGCCCAGCTAACAAAAAGCAATACTATATTTGTACTGAGAACTCATATGACTAACTACCCATTATTCTACTGTCGTCAAAAAGGAAAAAGAAATCGATGGATAAGAAGCACCGGTGTCGCTGGAGGAATCAACTTGGAGACATTTCATTTCCTACCGGACCATAGATGTCTGGCATTCAAAAGATATGTAGTCAGCAAATGCAGTTGAAAAACAGATTTCAAAGTCAGTTCAGGAATCTGTTTCGTTACAGGCATAAAAACATCATCAGGGTAAGGCAGAAGACGTGAACTTGGGACGATATGAAAATACCATAAGTGAAAAACTATAATGCTGTGTGATAACTCACTGTTTTTAGGGGGAAAAAATAAATATCCTGGTGACGTCAAGAGCTACATTTGTTGGCAGTATCAGGTGAAGCTGAAGCCCCAGTACTTAATTCAGCTTCGCCGTAATCTTGCCAACAATATACAGCACGTCTTAGTTATGGTAGTATCCCAGTCAACAAAGGTGTACATAATGAATTTTTAAAATGCTGAGAAATACTCCTCAGATTACACCAGACGTCTGATTGGTTTATAAATGATATAGAAACGATGAAACGAATTAGTCGTTGTGGTGAAATATGAAAGGCTTTTGGATTAATATCATTTACATTTAAAGACATTACAAAATTTTCTCGCAGAGTTGTTTGGTTAAACCTAGGTCAAATACATTTTGTTTAAGTTTACGTTTAGGGCGGTTGTCTGCACGAGGATGAAGTAGGTGTCGACCACGTTTTGCAGTAGTTAGTTCTTTTTATTGTTTTTTATACTCGACATCGGTTAGTTCTACACATAACTTGAGATGAAATCATGGTGATGGTGATAGTCTGCTTAGGGTGTACTAAGTATTTTGGAGTCAAACTGCTATAATAAGACCGCAATACGATTTTTGGAATTTTTCATGTCTTGTTATAAAACTTAATCCGTTGTAATAGTCTTCTTTCGTCATGGCTATACGGAATCTGAAAAGCTGGCAAGTAGCTTTTCATTGCTTACCTAATGTTGAAAGGTACTTTTGAGTGCAGTTCATGTGTCTCGATAACTTTTACTGTAGTTGTGTGGCATCTTTTGATGCCGTATCTATCAAAGCCACAGTGTTCTGCATCAGCCTGTATAGCAAATAATACTTAGAGCACCACACTTGTTCTGTCGTATCATCAAATTTACTTGTATTATTTGAGTCGAGATGTGTATATAAAGAAGTATTGATGTAGTCTAACATTTAGGTGTTTTAGTGGGCGCACGTCTGTGTAACCTTGTCTTTCAGGTCGCACAACTGCGTAACGGTCGGAAACCCCAGCAAATGTAGTTCCTATCACATTCCGTGAAATTGAGAATTGTAGTTGGTATACTAAAACACCCTAGAAATCAATCTTGCCACACTAATTGACAAAGGATAGAGAGCCTGAAAATGTCTTGAGGATTATCCTCGTTACCACCTTGTTCGTTTATCCAGTTGAGTTGCAGCTTAAAGACCTTTGTATCTGAGTTGAAGGTCTACTTTGTAGTAACTTGATCGTCGTACTTCTAATGGTAAACCCTGTTTAGTAGCCGGTTGACGTAAGTCACGTCAAACGACGAGGTGTTTGGAATACTATGCTTTTGCTTGTTGCAAGCTATTGACTGCCTACAAATTTTAGGTTGGAAGTGTGTTCCTATAGTGGTTTCAAGGTCTACCCAGGTCATGGCAAACGGGCTATTCGTACTGATGGGCGTGGGTTTTATTTCATAAATGGGAAATGTGAGCGTTCCCACTATCTTAAACGCAATCCTCGAGAGGTCAATTGGACAATCCTCTATCGACGAAAGTACAAGAAAGGTGTAAGTGAGGAACAAGCCAAGAAGCGGACGAAACGCGTAACTAAAAGTGCTCGTGCCATCGCTGGTGCTAGTTTAGCTGAGATAATGGCCAAACGGAATCAGAAACCTGAAGTTCGTAAAGCCATGCGTGATCAAGCCATACGGTAAGTCTGATTTCTCCATATATGGTGTTGTAGAGCTGCTAAAGAAAAGCAAAAGCAGAAAGAAGTTGAGAAAAAAGTCAAGAAGGTGGAGAAAAAGAAACCCAAGTTGCTGCTGTTGGTAAACAGAAGGCCGCAAAAATTACTCAGAAGGCTGCTCCAAGGGTTGGTGGAAAGCGATAAGCCACATGTTTTGTTACTTATAATTTGGATAAATCACTCCAGATAAATGTTTTCTTCTATACGCCGTCGGGAAACTCATTCTTTAGAATGCTACATTGATGTTAGGACACTTCCAACATATGTGCTTTCGATAATATTTTATATGGTTATCACGGTGTTAAAAAATATCGGAACTGATGTTCATTATACGAGGTTTGTCGCTAACGGGAACCTCACGAGGTTTTTAGTCGATCTCTATTTGTCTGTAGTAATAGCAAAAGTTGGATCTGTTTGGACGAAGGCTGTGAACAAACCAAAAGCGCCATCATCGCGTGGAGTTACTGACTGTTGGTCTGATCTGTGTAAGAACATGTAGACTGAAGGCCTGATGCCTGCAAAAAGATTGTATTCAGTGGTTGAAGACTCGTAAGACACGACAGAGAACTGAAGACGATGGCGCAGACGTATACTCTCTTTGATGTCCTCTAAAGCTTGAATGTTTGCACCAGGCTTTCTCTTCTAATTGTTTCTCCCATTCAGCTTCGTTTATTTTCTGTCCACCTGATCTTTTTATGTTACTACTGAGTGTGACAGCTTGAACCGATCCACTCCTGTCTGTGTTCGTCATTTCGTTATTACTATTATTTTCCCTTGAGTTCCTAGTGGAACATAGGGCTTCAGTAGCACATAGCCATTGCACTCTCTTCTCTGCAGTCTATTGAATCTTATCCCAAGACTGCACACAAGCTTTCATTTCTTCCTCACATCTGCATCTCACCCTCGCCTCGGACTACCAGCTTGTCGTTTCCCACTTGCATTCCATTCGAGGCCCTGGCCTGGTGCGCGATGTCCCCAACCGGCCTTCTCAGTGTATGCTCAATCCATCTCCACTTCCTGGTTCCATATATTTGTTGAGTGATAGGTTCTTGCTTCGTTGCCAGAGTTCTCTGTTGCTTATTCTTTCCGGCCTTCTCATCTCATCTTCAGTGTCAGTATCGAGTGAGCGTAGGTGGCAGCTGTTCATGATGAATATCTGTAGTTTGTTGGGAATGCTTTTCGTGACGCGCCAAGTTTCTGAACCATCACATAGAAGCACTGACTCACTTGACTGAATTGGTGTTGAAAATCCTGATCTTGTTCACGAATTGTGCTGAGTACAGCAGGTCTCCACACTAGTTTCAGAGTGATGAAACCCTATCTTTCTGATGCTGTCTGGCTTTAACATCCTCATCTGTGCCTGTGCAGCTGGGAAGGTGAAAGCGACAACTTCCTTTAGGTTCCTTCTGTTCATGGTGATTGGTGCTTGTTGTTGTTGGTTGTGTATCTTCATCACCTCTGTCTTCTCTACTTTCACCTGAAAGAAGTCCCATCTTCGCTCCCCCCCTTCGCTGCCTCTTCTGCCAACTTGTTGGTTTTTGCCTGTTGATCTTCAAGTTTGTACAACAAGATATTAGACATGAATCATCATTGGCGAAATTCAAATCCTCTAGGGTCTTTCCACCGGTCAAATAACGTATACCCATCTCGCTCCTCATAGTTGTCTGTTGCATGGTCCGGTCCAATCCAGTCGACCACAGTCAGGAAGGTCATCAGTGATAGTAGGCGGCAACCTTTTCTCACTCCTTCCTGTCTTCACTCCGAAGGCATCACTAGCTATCCATAGTGTTGTGAATCACTTGGCATGTACCATCATATAGCATATAGCTACTGCTGAATGAGGTTGATAAACGTTTGTGGCACTAAAATCATAGTGTTGGAGCAGTTTCCAAATTACTTCTCGGTTGACGCTGTCGAAGGCCGTTTCAAAATCAACGAAGTTGAGGTAGAGAGTTGACTGCCATTTTGTGCTCTTCTATGATGATGCGCAGCGTACCGTTGCAATTTGACCCAAACATGATTTGTTCTTACTAAAGTTGGCTAGCCTTTTCTGGTCGTAATTTTGAATCCAGCGCATCGTTTAGTCTCTCCAGGATGACGCGGCTTAATATTTTCCTTCGAGTGGACAGCACTATGATTCCACGGCAGTTCTTGCAAAGACTTAGGTCGCCCTTCTTCGGGAGTTTGACAAGGTAGCCCTTCTTACAATCTGCAGGTGCCTTCCCTTCCTTCCAGACCTTCTGCAATAGAGGTGTGAGCATATCCGCTGTTGTTTCTGCATCCGCTCTCAGTGCTTCCGGCGGGATTCCATCTGTTCCTGCTGCTTTCTCAAGTTTCAGCAGTTTTATGGCATCGACGTCTTCGGCTATTGTTGGAGAGCTTGTATTCACTTGTAATTCTGCTGTTGCTGATGGTATTTCTGAACGGGTTGCAGGTGGTCGATTCAAGAGATTTTTGAAGTGGTTAGCTCATTGTTTCCTTTGTTTCTCGTCTTTGGTAACTAGCTTTCCTTCACTATCTTTCATTGGTTTCGTCTGAGTTGATCTCTTTCTGGATATCAACCTGGTTATTTGATATAATGTTGTCAGGTCTGTGTTTCTGCTACCTGCAGCCTGTTCTGCTTCACTTGCCAGTGTGTCGTAAAAGTGTCTTTTGTGTTTGCGTGCACTCTTCTTCACTTCTTTGTCGAGTGTAGTACCGTATAGGTTGTATTTAGTTCCTCTTTCCTTGTTCATCCTTGCACTGGTTTATCTTCTGCTTCACCATCTTCCTCTCCCTCTCTATCAGCTTCCGTGTTACGTTGAGATGCATGCATTATTTTCTCTCTTCTTCCTTCCTAATACGGTGATGCAGGTTTCCTTCCACATCTCTTTCGAAGAGTTCCAGTTTCATTCACACAGGTTTCTTTACGGATGATGCTTAGTGCTTCCTTTTTTTTGATAGCTGACGTGAAGATGTCCTTCGTAGTTTCGTCTTCAGTTCAGATTTCTTCTGGGTGTTGAACTTGACAGTGGCCTATAACCAACTTTTGTGACTTTCAACTTGATTTGAAGGTTCCTTGCACTAGATAGTGAGTGGTGTGAACCCCATCTGCTCCCCTTCGATTGTGTCAGTAGGCTGCGTTCCACTTCTTGAGATTGAGATTAATTCGATCTGATTTTTAGTATAGTCTGTCCATGTGGTGAAATCGAATCACTTCACTTTGTGATATTTGTGTTTGTACACTCTACTTCGAATCATTAGGTTATGAATGCACAGAAGCCTGCAAACAGTTCTCCATTCATTCATTTTGCCGAGTGCTTCTCTACCGATATGAGTTCTCTTCCTGTGTGTCGCTCCGAGTTTGGCATTCATGTCGCCCATTAGAATTTGATGTCGCCGTCTGGCTTGGGGTCTTGCCAGTACTGATTGCAGTTGTCTTTTTCTTGATCTGCATTATTTGTTGGCGCTTAACACTGACTGATTCTGACTTCCTATGACAGCCACTCCCTCCGTGTGATCATAGTTGTCGTCTGGGTGGGAATATTGTAGTAGATTATTGATTCTCCAGTTGACAGTTTGGAGAGTCCATTCGATCTGCTTTCGCAGAATCCTAGCACTTCCACGCCGTACCTCATCTTTTGCAATTTGGGCAGCCTTGCTAGGTTCACGCATGGTGCAGACATTCTATGTGCGCATGTTCACTTTTGCTTTCATCTAGAGAAGACATATCGGCCGACTGGCTTTCGCCAACCAGCGTCACTCCGACAAGGAATCAGTTTGTTTTTATTTTTTATGATTTCTTTGTGCTTTGAAGTTTGTTTAGGGATTGGATTGGTTTTACGGGGTAGGGTTGCTAACCTTAACTTTCCCTCCTTATCCGGGCTTGAGACAGGTTAGTAACTAGTTAACCAGATGAGGTTAGGCATTAAAGGTGTTAATCTGAAGTGATACACATCATATTCACTATGCTGGTGGTGCTAGGCCGTCATTAACCCAACTTACCGACAACATTTCTGTAGTCTAACGTCCCATCCGAACTTAGATTGATTGGTTGTCTCTGATAACTGCCTTGTGGTGGTCAGGCTTGTATATCGCAATTACCCAACAAGCTACATTGGCTGGAACTCTTGTTATCTCGAGCTTCAATCATGCCTGAAAGGTTTATTGGATAGTGGTTACCAAAACGGCAGTCCGTCAGGTGAATTGCTACACTGCTAATCTGGTGGGCTGTGACCACATAACAATGTTACTTGTGGATGACCACCAGTCCCACGCCAAAACCTTCCCTGTGGGAAAGAGAAAGTAAAAAGGATTAGCACCCAAAACAGTACACTCCTTCCTTAACTGCGGTCTTCCGTTGCTGGCGTTATGGGCGTCCTACATCCAGCGTTAGAACAATGAAATCACAGCAACAATCCTTAAAATGCTGTGTCAGGCCTCAAGCAGATGTCCTATAAGCTCTATGGTAACACGAATCTTCTCTTCCATTATATTGTTTTGTTCCTACATATAAACTGTACTTTTTTATTATCATTTTCACTTTTTCTTCATCTTAACTCATCTGCCCTCCATTGTTTAGACTGGACTGTATTGGATCGCTAAAAAGTTGTCCCCATAAAGGTATCCTCCAGGACGCCTCATCTGACAGCTGTTCTGAAACCTCTCATATCGTCCGAGCTCGTCACCAACGTTTTCACCCTGAAGCAGATCAGACAATAGGCAAGTGTGGCTAGGACTCTGAAAAACTTCACTAGCGATGTGTGCTACGTTTCTAAGACCCGCATGCAAAGTCACTGTGATGTGTTTTGCATTAGCTTCCCATCTGTCAGCTTTGAAAGTATGTTTCATGTGCGCCTCAGGAGCCTTTGGCATAGGCAACTTGCCTCGATGTTGAACTAGGCGCTCATGCTGAGGATGCACTACTCGACTGAATCCCCATCAACAGTCGTCTGTGTGCTGTTTATCTCGAGTAAAAGCAGTCGGCTA